AGAGTGGCATCCCATCTGTAACAGTTTCTATACAGAAAAACAGCATTACTTTTTTGGTTGTTTTTAAATCATTTTATCGGGGGTTCTTACAGCTCTTATAACAATCCATACATCCATTATGTCAAGCACATTTGTACATATGTTGCCATCATCCTTTTTAAAACATTTTCTTTCTACTTGAGCCCTTGGTCTCAGCTCATTTTTCCCCTCCCTCTTCCACCCTCCCACCTATAATTTTTCCCACCTTGATAGATTATAAATTATTATTTTCATACCTTACACCATCCAGTCTCCCCTCACCCACATTTCTGTTGTTCATCAACCTGGGTTTGGGTGTGGGCGTGTTATACGTCGATCATTGTGATCGGTTCCCTCTGTCTCCCCCCGCCTTAAAAGGTTTCTTACTTAATATTTCTTTTTTAAAAAGAAATGTGTAGAGGCCCCTTTATTAAGTCTTCCATAGGACAAAGACAAGACAAAGACCATTCATCAAGATGAAGTCAGACACATGAGGCCATAATGATATTCCCTTAATGCTCTTTCTCTGTCTTGGGACCAGATCCTGGACGCCACATGCAGTTAGTTTATCATGTTTTCTTAGGGTCCTCAAGCCTGACATTTACACAGACTTTCCCTTTTTGGAGATGACCTTGGAATTTTTTCTTTTTTTCCCCCTGGCATGTACTGGTCAGGTTTTGTAGACAGCCCTTCAATTTTGGTTTAAAAAAAATTTTTTTTAATGGTTTTCTTATCATTAGACTGGGATTATCAGTGTTTGGGAGAAAGAACACAGAGGTTAAGTGCCATACTTATGTTATTTCAAAGATATCAACAGGATTTATCATTGATAATTATCACATGGTCGAGGTAGTGTTTCAGGTTATTCCACTCTGCCAATGCCACCCTTCCCTTTCCTTCTTTGGGAGAAAGTTATGCACAGGCCACAGTTGAAGAGTATCGGGAGTGATACTCTACGTCTAAAAGGGGAGAGGATTCTGTTCAGATTTGTCTATTCTCCATATATTTGGTTCATTTATATTTGTTCAATCATTTATGTTTGTATGTACTCATGGATATTTTATATTTAGAGTTATAATCCATTACTACATTATTTTGTTAGTCAGGTTTTCCTGCTTTGAAAGATCCCACGCGGATTGTTTAAGTTGGCCCCTGTGTCCCTTTTGTATACACTCATCACACTGTGTTACTTTCTGGTACACATAAGATGTTTCAGCCTTATCTTGCATATTTCTTGTCCCTGCTACCCTGTTTCCCCGAAAGTAAGACATTCCCTGAAAAATAGACCGACTTATAGTTTTGCCTCTTGCTGAAATATAAGGCACCCCCCCAAAATAAGACCTCCACCAAAATAAGGCCCCCCGAAGCTACCATAACTCTGGACCATAGTGGAGGGTGC